GTAGTATTTAGATTTAAATTGAGTATAGAATACGAGAGAAGCATGATGAAATAAGAATATTAGGATGCTATTCATTTATTTGAAAGCTCGATTGTATTTATTTTTAAAAATATTTTTTATTTAAAAATATATTAAAATATTTTTTAAAAATATTATTTTTAAAATTAATGTATTAAAATGGTCACAGAATTTTAATTTAAAATAAAAATAAAAAAATATCAAGAAAAAAAAAAGGAAAATAAATAAACTTGCCAGAAAAATGAGGTGAGGTATTTTTACAGACCAACGTCCACCCAACTAAAATCTCATCCCTACCAGACTAGAAAGAAAAAAGAAGAAGAAGAAAACAGCCTAGGATAACACAAAAGAACAATTTGGGTAATTAACACAAAAATAATAATAAAAAATAAGTGAATTGAAATAGGAGCAAAAGACTGTTATTTTTAGCTTAACTAGGCAATCCATTCATGATAATCAGTTTGATTGATTATGACAATAATAATAAAAAAATTTAAATTGTTAAAATTAGAAACCACGATTAGATTTTTTATATTTAATAATTTGATAGCTTGTATAATAATGCAATGATTATTATATGAAAGATAATCTATGAAAATTCTTGTAAAAATTTAAATGCAATGAAAAATTATAAATATTTTAAATTATTATTTTGGTTTGATGTAACTAAATCTTATCTTCACTTAAACTTATCCTACTTGTTTATAAATATACATTCATTCATATAATTTTTTCAAGCAAATCCTCACTTGGTTATAATAAATTCATATCTAATTTCTTAGAATTATTGATTATTACACAAGTAATAGATTTTAAAGGTTTTATCTATTTTTTTGAATTTACAAGTTGAATAAAAACAATTTTAAATCATAAATTATATTTAAAGAAATTTTTTTATAAAATTATGATTTTTATATAAAATGACTATCACTAGATCTAATCAATTTTTTAAGTAAATAAAAAATAAAAAATAAAAAATAGATTATCTTGTATTTTTAAATTAAAAAATAATATTTCATTAAATTTTTTTGAAATGATATTATTTCATTATTTTTTTTTATGTATATTTACTTTGCGATTTTTTTTAAACAATATCCAAAAATACAAAGGATAAAAAAAGCAAAGCGAGCAACCGCCTGACCTAACCCAACCATTAAGTTGTATATTTATATCTTCTCTCATCCTTTTCAGCTCTCCATCTCTCGTTTTGTGTTTTTGACCACCTTCCTTTACGCTTTCTCCTCTTTCATTCAAACCCTCCCTGTAATCTAATAATCTCATCCTCCTCGCCGCACAAAAACCAAAATCCTTCGCGTGGTTTCTTAATCTTAATCACGGAATTTTCAGATCTATATCTCCACCAATCACTGTAATTATTCGTGATCTTATCCCTCTTGATACCGTTCAATTGATGTTTTTGACGTGCGATTGGCATATTTGAAGGATTTTTTTTTTTTTTGTGTTTTTGAAAGTCTTTCTGTTGTCTTTGGTATTCTGTAGAATTTTAATTCGGATTAATTAGATCAGTGTATTACATATCTTTCTTCGGTTTTTTTTGTTAATTAAATGGCTGTTTTAGAAAAAAATTTGTTTCCACCAACAAACTTAGCTTAGTACAGGCCTTTGATTTTGGAGAAATGCTTAAGCTTTTATCTGGATTTTTGTTGTTGAAGAAACTAGTATTTTCATGTTCCGGCTCATGTCAAATCGATCTTTTTAAGGAAAGTTCAAATGCCTATAAGCACAAAATTTTGAGAAAAACAACCACACTACAAGTGACTTGCCTTACTACGTGAAGTTTCAGCTTTTCTGGACGGGTTTATTATTTTTGCGGTTCAATCTTATTCATAAATTTTTTTAATGGCTAACTTGTCAGGAAAAATGTCTTTTGCACGGCATTATCGTTCACAAGGAGGAACATGCCATGATGATCGGTGGACCTCTTTCAATGGAAACAGTTTCAACCATAGAAACAGGAACGTGAATGTGAATAGGAGCAACAACTACAACTACACCTGGAATCATAGCAATTTCCGTGATTTCTCCTCGGGGAAATTCAGGGACCATGTCAATGGTTATGCTAACCCTCCTAATGTTGGACCAGCTTTTAAAAGGAGAAAATTTAGTGTGGATACTTGGGGAGAATGTGGTGGGAGACACTACCCCCAGTACAATGCATATGAATGCGCTGATCAATCAACTTACAATAACCCAGCCCCTCTGATCACAAGATCCAATGCTGAGGTCTCTACATCTACATCTATGAGTTGCAAACGTGACCGCTCAAAACTGGAAGAAGATGAACCAGTATTTTTGTCGAAGGATGAGATTGAGAGATACTCCCCATCAAGAAAAGATGGAATTGATGCACTACGTGAAACACATCTTCGGTATTCTTATTGTGCCTTCCTTCAGAATCTTGGGCTGCGGCTGGAGTTGTAAGTGCTCCACCTGGAATGTGTCTCGAGTTATTATTTTTTGTTTGGACGCTTTCTTATCAGAATTTCAATGTTATTAACTTACTCCTTTGATTCTTGTAGGCCACAAACTACTATTGGCACCGCCATGGTTTTGTGCCACCGGTTTTTTGTTCGACGATCACATGCTTGCCATGATAGATTTGTGAGTTCTTAATTGCTCATGCTTGAATTTTTGACTACCCTGTTACCTTCTTGGAGGAGACTTTGCGTACTGTCATTTCACAGGGGAAACAATTTTACTCTAGAAACCTTCCCTGAATTGTGTTGGCACTCTCCCTGGCGCTATTTTTATTGAGAGAATATTGTTATTAGCTGTTTAGAACTTTGAGCCGATATAGACAAGTATTATGTCTAAACTGATGGCTAGTCTGTGGAAGCTTGGCGTACTCTCTTATGTTGTCTTGATTTGGAAATTGACAAGTCCTCTTGGCTTATGATCCCTCCTCTGCTGAAGGTGGAGTTAACATTCGATTCAAAACAATTCTTTTGACACAAGGATCTGGGTTGTGTAGCTGCTTTTCACGTAATCTGATACTGCAGCATTCTGCGTTTGTAACTTTAAAAAAATTAGGCAGACAGCAATGACTTGTTTATTCTTATCTTTTGGCAATTTTAGATTTGTTGCATCTATTTTTTGGTCCTTTTATTTTCTGATTTCCGGCCAGTAATGAATTGTTTAGTCTTGGTAAGATTTTTCATATACTCGCATGAATGCCTTCTTGTGATGCTTGGAATATGATTATGCAATAAATCTAGTGCACGTTCAATTTTGTGATGGTTATGTTTGTCATATTTGTTTTGGGCTTGTTGCAGTTAATTGCTGTTGCTGCACTTTTTCTCGCTGCAAAGTCTGAGGAGACACCTTGTCCTTTGAACAATGTAGTGAGAGCCTCTTGTGAGATTTTCCACAAGCAGGATATTACTTTCTTGTCGTACCTGCTCCCTTTTGTAAGTATCTTGCAGGCTGACTCATAACTTCTTATCTGTTAAATCTATTAGAAGGGGGAAAAAATCTAATTTGCGTCTGTTTTAAAAACATAAAGTGGATAACATAAAATATGCTCATGTTAATTCATGAATGGAGCTCCTATTTCGAAATGTGTTGAATTTACTCTCATGTTAATTCATGAATGGAGCTCCTATCTCGAAATGCGTTGAATTTACTCCCCGGTTAATTTATACGTTATTTCTTGCACAACATGAAATTTCAAAGTGACAAGTATCTGGTAATATAATCTATTTGTGAAAGCGGCTCCACTTGTGCATTTTACTACTGATTTTTTTTTTCTCTTGAAAAGTTGCAGCTTCAAGCCTTTAGCATGCTAACATGAAATGAGATGTTCTGAACAGGATTGGTTTGAACAGTACCGAGAGCGAGTTATTGAGGCTGAGCAAATGATTCTGACTACACTCAATTTTGAACTCAATGTGCAGCATCCATATGGTCCCCTTACATCTGTCCTCAACAAATTAGGTCTTTCACAAACTGTGTTGGTGAATCTGGCACTAAACTTGGTCAGTGAAGGGTAAGTGCACTCCTTTCAATATGGTATATTTTATTGGTTCTTTAGATTTGTATTGGTGCGGTTCATTTATATCAGCTAGTTTCAGTGTCAAAATGAACTAGCTTTTATAAAATGAACTTTTGTATAATAATAATAATAATAATTCTGATCATGCTCCTTTCTTCAGGAAGCAATTTGATTTGGACCATCTTCTTGTAAATATATTATATCTGGATTTTCTCACACTAGTTCAGCTAAAGACATGGTTTAAGATTTAGCAAGTGGTCTTGCAGTTATGATGGCTTGTCTTTGTCTATAGATGGACTGGTTTGTATCTAAATCCCAACGAATCGGAAGTTGTGGGGGACTCGTTGTACTTGGGCCATGGAGAGTATGTGCTGGGTTCTTACTTTTTCTCTTTTGGTTCAACATAGTGTTCTACTAGTCTCAATGGTTTTCTTTCAAGTAACTACACTATGTAGTTATTCTGGTATGGGATATTGATGTTTTTGGCATGGCATATAATTGCAGGGTCTACACAAGATTAGCGTGCTCTCCTGTATGATATTGTTAGCTGGCGGATTGATATGCTGTGCATGGAAAGTTTTTAAACATCTGAAGTTGCTTTGCCAAGATGATGTGGATCACATTACTGTGATTCGCTATACCCCCATCAACCGGATTATTTGCTAAAAAAGATAGCCTCAGAACATCCAAAATCATTTTTGCATTCAACTTTTTTTCACTTTCTTCTTCCTTTTTTCATACTTTCTTTTGGAGCAAGTTGTCTAGCCTCCTTGTACAAACTTAAAGTTTGTAAGACCTGGCTGCTTGTTCATTTAGCATCCATTCACCCTGATTTGGAGGAAACTAAATTGATTTGACAATGATCAAAATCCATAGTGACTGGGATATTGTTTGTTCTTATTTTCCCTCCTTAATGATTTTTGCCCGTATTTTCTATATGGCATGAGTCCCCTCTGATATATATATATATATATATATATATATATATTATCAAAAAAGAAAAAAAATATTTTGCATTAACTCCTTTTTTCTCCTAATTTGGTGGCACTTTTTTGGTCTGATATCATTAAGATAAGGTTATTTTAGAATAAAAAGTTAAGTAAATTGTTCAACAGGTGTAGATACCTGAGTGTGTCAGAAGGTTGTGTTGCTGCATAGTGTGATAGATTGAGTTTTGATTTGCCAGTGTGAGGGCACTTGTGCACCTTAAAGTTTGACTGAGTATCAACGTGCTGGTGTTTTGTGATGGTTAGCTGGTGGAATATTGTTTGATGTTGCCAGCATAGATAAAATTGAGAAAAGAACAAACAGCATGGTAGCTCTTTTTTTAATTCTTGTGTATACAAGGACACTCGAATCCAAGTCCATTAGGGGATGATGGTCACAGTATGCTAATTGATCTATATGGCTCATTGGCACAGATGTCAGTTTCTCGGTGCTGGTAAACTCACATATATAAAATGCATAGTTAAATTGTTTGTTTGGAAACAATTGGCACACAAACCTAAGACATGTCAAAATCTGACAATGACCATGTTAGGACACATATACTTGTCATGATCTTAATATGATGGATTCCTTTAGTTGTGGCGCAGTTTCAGTCTGATACCTTGACCCTACCCTATTATTGACCTTGGCTGTTTCGAAGACCTCTAAAATGGGAATATCCGTGTGGTTTTTCTGTGCACCTGTTGTCAATTAAATGGACTGCATAAACCTCCATGACTATGAGCGGAAGTGGTGCTACTGCTTGTATCATCCAGGAAAAAAATTAGATGTGGGCATCCTTGTACTTTTTTGTTATTGTCATCTGCTGCTATCATTATAATTTCTACCTATATTGCTGTTGTTATTAATATACCTGCTATTCTGGCGCATGACTCACATGGGTGTGGTGAGCTTGGTTGTCTTCTTATGCTCAGCTATCAAATGGCACCTGGAACAGGTACCAGCCTGCTACATTTTGTGTTAAATACATCCAGGCATTTGCAAATCAGAGTATGTTAAATGTTCTTTAGGAATTCTAAAAATATAAGAAGCTTGAACCATTTCCCTTTTTTAGGAATTCTAAAAATATAAGAAGCTTGATCCCTTTCGTAAAATTGGAGTCTGAGACCTACTCCATTCTCACTCTGCCCTTGGGGCTATGCTTGATTAAAGGAGCGATGCTATTGAACATTAACACTCAATCTCCTTGGCCCGGGGCTCCTGATCTCTCCCATGCTATGCTTGGGGTGGCAATATCAGGCCAGAGGTTGTTCTTTGCCCGGCTTAATTAGCTCCATAGGTGATCTCTGCTTCCATTTCGATTCATGGTGTTGTTGACTGGCCAATGATGAGCTACAATGGAAAAAAATTCCCTGTAAGTTAAAGTCTTGAAATTTGGATTTGTTTTTCTTTTGTAGAAAGATTGAAGAAACAACACCTTTCATGGTTCAATGCCATAAGCTGTTCTTATTCTTGAAGGGGGACTGTAGGATGAGGGGCCAAGTTAGCAAAGCAATGCTATAATATCACGTTTTACTATATTTGCCCCCAGCATTGGGCCTTGACCTTGACCCCTTAGATATTCTATCCCGTTCATCTCCAGCTTCCTTCTAATTCTCATTCTTTGAACCTTTTCAAATCCAAACATACTTTTCTACTTTTAGCCACTATCAGTTTTGATGATCCCTCATATCAGTTTGAGCTTTTAAATCATTCACAAGTATGGTTCAAAAGTTTTCAGAACCCGTTCATATAGCCTGATATTATATATATGGAGTAATTCAGTTTACAATATATGTATACAATTATGCCATATTTTTTTGCTCGTGGATTTAAATGTTGCTTATAGCTGGCTAGAGGATATGGGATGGTGTTATTCCATGTCTGGGGTAGCATGCCTGATTCATGAGCATTAGTTCATGTGTTTTGACAAGCCTTTCCAGATCAAGTTGTGGAGCAGAAGATGCAGAATGTGCTGCTAGTTTCTATTTGTTTTATTATTTGAATTGTGTATGTTTCTGGAGTATTAAAGCCCCTGCTTCAAAATGGGCCTGGGAGTTGATTTGTTTATAAATGAGTGTGTTGTTTGTTATAGTTTTGGTACTCTATCAGCAATCCTGCAGAGTTTGTTGCAAAATATTCTTCCTGGGTTTGCTGCTTTTGTGGTGGGTAAGAGAAAAATGACTTGACTTGCATTTTTTTTGTAATTGAATCCTTAATGATATATTATCTGCTAGTGTTTTGATATTCTCTGATTGTTTATCTATTTTACTTTCACTGCTAATATGCCTCTGATCAAATCTAGCAATATACTAAGTTGCACAAGAGCCGTGATTTCCATATTAGTGCTTTGAGGCTGGTTGGTTTGACAGTTTTTTCACCTCTCATCATGTGCTGGCTGCTGGTGGTTTTAGCACACTTTATAAAAGCTATTATTTTGTTGTGCAGGCTTCGGAGTTCCTTATGGCTTCAGTTTAAGCCCCATCACATTGCCGCTGGTGCTGCCTATCTAGCTGCCAAGCTTCTAAATTTTGATCTTGCTTTTTACCAGAATATCTGGCAGGAGTTTGAAACAACACCAGCTATTCTCCAAGGTAGCTCCACTCAACTTTCATGAGTTATATTAATTCATTACACTGGCTTAATCCCTTGTACTCAGATTCAGTTACTGGATAAATAGTATAAAACTGGTGATTTTCCAAATCTTTATATATGCTGTTCAAATCTACCAAGTCAGCTGTGAATAATGGACTGGTTCTTTCATTTCTGGATCAGAATCTTGCTTCAATTTTGTGGCATTTTGATGATGTCTCAGAGGACAAAATCAGTAACTTGTTCAGGTTTTTTTTTTTTAAAAAAAATATTAAATTGTAGTGGCAGTATAGGGTGAAAATTGGCTATATGGGCGGTTGGCTGCTATTCACCATTTTTGCTTTGTATGCTTGTAATATGTGTCCGCGTGTGTCCATACGCATGCATGCATGTTTGTCTCTGTGCATATGTAGTGAAGTTTGTGCTTGCATTTGATGAGCTTTTCTTAAAATAACTTCATGCTAAATATTTCTATCAGACTTAAAAAGCTTTTCATTGCTAATTCATTTGTATGTGACTATACGATGCAGATATATCACAGCAGCTGATGGAGCTCTTCTACTGAAATAGCGTAGTTGTTCCAGCATGGTTCACCCTCGAGGGTGATGCAGTTTAGGTGTTGAAAGTATAGCAAGTCAGAATAATATGCGTGTTAATATGGTTACAAAGATCATCAATATTGATTACAGTGTGAGAATGTCATGCAAGAGAGGTGAAAAGAGATGCTCATTTCAAAAAATTACGTGTTGAAGTACAGGTTAAATGGATCTGTAGTTCATCGTGTATGTCAAGAGTGTCAGTCTAATTGAATGACAAATTAGCTGAAAGCTTAAACTTGGAAAGGTGTCCGTTGCCACTTTAATTTATGCCCGAGGTTTCAATAGATTCCTCTTGGTGAGAGAAATACACGCCACCAAAGCAAGATTGGAGTTGGTAGAGTGCAAAATGAAGGTCTGTTCTGAATCTTTGCTTTAAACACGCCACCAAAGCTTCCAGGTGGGTTGCAGTGCAAATATGAAACATGCTTTTGATACTTGAGTTGACCATTGTTGCAGTGATTATAAAAGGCTGATCGATTTTGGTATTATGGCTAAAATAAAGAAAAAGGTTGAATATAAGGGTGTTTGCTCCACTAATTTTGGTTAAATACAATAGGATTCTTTGGAATCAAGGGGGGCATTTCCCTGTCGTATTGGGTGGGGATGATCTGACGCCAGTATGTGTTGCCATGTAGCTGTCATGTGTTGGCAGCATCAGTTTGTGCCACTGGAAACTTCTGTAGGCCTCTAATTCCTACGCCAAGTTAGCATCGAAGCAAAAAGAAAAAAATGTTTCAGGAAAACTAAATGGAAGATTTTATTTTTTTGGAAAATAAATTCAATCAAAATGGAAAGGGAAAAATGAAGGGTTTGTGGAGAACCTTCCCTTCAGCAAAATTCCAGTACAATCTAGAAAAAGACAGGTTCAAAGGGGTTGCAGTGAATAGATTGAGCTACAAGACAACATGGAGGAAGTACGGCTATACGAACAATAGGAAATCTTGTGGGACAATAGGGACCTTTAAATGATTCTTCAAGTTTTTGTTCTTGTTGAAATTTGATTCTTCCTGTACTCCTTGACATGTCGGTGTATCTTGTGAATGAGAGATGGAAATTTTGATCTCCTTGATCGTCTCTTTGTGTCCAAAATGACTCGAGGGTGGTGGTTGTCGTCCTGACGCTCACAGCTTTCTCATTTATTTCCTTGTGGCGTTTTTTAGCCACTGGCACTCTAATTTTCTCTTGTAGAAAAACCAGTCGATGCGTTCCTTTGCTTTTAAGCTGATGTCTAATTTTCTGATGGAATCAAACCACACAAGGGATGGGATCATGAAAGTAAACACGAAAATTGAATGATGTAAATCCCAGAGAAATTTCAATCACGAATGATTTTGATTGATGGGATGCAAAGACTTCTGCGAATTTTACTACTCAACGCTGCTTAGGTTGACAAACATGTTTGCTTTGGCTTTTGTGAAACAAACCGAAGTTTGACAGCGCAAAAGTTTGATCACGACCACAGAATTTGATTACGTGGATTAATTAATTTGTGCACTAGCTAGGGGGAATCTAGGCCTCTGCTTAACTTTTATAGAAAGCTTGACCGCTAATCCATCATAAAAAAAGTTTCATTTTAATTCATAAAATTTTTAAGTTACATCGATACATTTTATCTCTCGAAAGATATAGTTTTTAATTGAAATATTATATATTTAATTATTATTATTATATTATAAAATAAATAATATTTTATATAAATTATTTTTTATTATTCTATTAAACTATTTATAATTCCATGTAAAATTTATTTAACAAGAATTATAATTTTCATAATTTACTTAGTGTAAAATAATATTAGATAAAATAATATCAAAAACAAAATTACAATTACAATTAAATTCTATAAAAACTATGTTATTATGTGATTTTTTTTCTAATATAATTATATAGTGTCATTGAATATTATTAAATATTAATTTTTTTAAAATAAAACACAATATTTCAAAAATTATTTTGAATTTTTTTATTTTATTGGGATGAATCTAGACACTAATACTTAAATTTGGGTTGGACTTGATCCGACCATGAATAATAAATATACTATTCATTATTCATGTAAATAATTAAGAGTAAATTATATTATATTATGAATGGGTCTTGAAAATTTTAGTAAGGGGCTCGTTGGAGGAGATTTATAGTGATATGTTTGAAATAAATTAAAAAAATATTTTTAATATTAAAATTATTTAAAAATAATTTAAAATATATATCTTCTAAAATTTTAACCAAAAAAAAATTCCACGTGAAAACTAGGACATATCATTATCTAGACAAAACGCCTTTCCTTTCCACTGCGAAACGCACCTGCCAGTATTATTAGCAAGTGATCAGCATTCGATGAACTTGGGGCTACTCTTTCTTTTCAACGAAAGCTTGCTCCCCTTTCTGGTTCACTGCAGTTTTTCTTTATTTTTCACTGTTCACAGGAGCTGCTGTTTGCAAAGCACATGTATATTGTGCTTTTGATAAACCTGCAGTAGAGCCCCAGTCTATAGTGGGTCCTATCAAAATAAATTTGTATTTTTTTCTTAACTAAACGCCAATAGCTGTTGCTTTTGGTGAATACCAAACTAAAAAAAGCCCGAAGAATAGTCGAAAGATCTCAAACCCCCCTAGCTCTACCTATCAACAGTCCTCCCTCTGTACGCTTTCCCCATTACAGAAACGGAGGAGGTCCGTTTTGTGATTCCATGTGTCTGTGTAACTTGCTCGGCGGGGGTCCGATTTATTCTTCAGCACAAGAAAGAAAAACAAGGGTGCAGTCAATGCGTCCCACGAAGAGACGGTGACAACAAACGACTGGTTTCCGGGTGCAGTAATTGTCTGGGACGGTATTCTGCTAAAACCAGCGAGAAATAAGCGGTGCAAGGATTCTTTTAGAATTCAACGCCATTGATTAGGGCTCAATTATGCCTCTCTCCTCTAATGTAAGCAAACTTCACATATAAAATTTTCATACAGCAACATGCAAGGGATTGCTTTTTTAACATGTACCGATCATTTATTGATACATGGGAACCACATTTAGCTACTTGATAGTTGATAGATCTGTTTATGCAGAATTTTAGTGCAAAATACTTGTTTACAAGTCATTTTTTTAGCAGAGTTAAAGATTATAATTACAGTTAGTTTTTAAAATATTTTTTAATTTCTTAATATAATATTTTTTTTATAATTACAGTTAGTTTTTAAAATATTTTTTTTAAATTTATTCTTGACACAGCAGTTAAAACAGTTTAACATCATAAAAAAATAATTTAAAAGAATAATTTTTTTCAAAAAATCTTTATAAAGTAAAAACAGACAGACTATTATTTGCATTGCAGAATTTGCGGAAAAAGAGAAAAGAAAACAAAAGAAAAGCCTTAGCTGATTGGATTAAATTTAATTACTGTCTGACAAGAAGGGTAGATTTTCTTTCAAAGATAAAAAGACTACCATTCTATCCAAGAAATCCCGATCAGTACAAATTCCTATCTCTTCTTCGCCCCGCTTTCTAACAATGACTGTCAATTGAAATTATTGGAAATTGGACTTCAACTCCAAGGACAAATCTAGAATTTGACGTTTGATGATTAGAAGGGCTAGAATGCAATATTCTTAATTAGAGTGGCCATTTCATGAGGATTTATTTCAAAACTTTCCAAGAGCAAAGGGGATTTTGTGTTTTTTTTTCTCAAAAAAAGAACTTGGGGGAGGAGGTGTGAATCCTCGGCCCCTTCTGGACTCGTTCTGCTTGTCACACGTGAAAAACTAGAGAAGATGACCGAAAGGGACGTCCTTACATTTTAAAGGTCATCCATGACCAAGAACTGTCATAAATATATAAATGGATCACATGCTGCATTTAAATTTCGTTGCTACTTGATAGAGAGTTCACATATCAAACCACAAAGGTTAAGAACCTGAATAAAAGATATATATATATATACACACAGCATGATTCAGGACCTTTTCCTTGGATGCCGCCAGGTTCCGTGTCGTGTCGAACCACTTAAATATTCAAGTTACTGTAATAACAATCTATGCATTCCGTGATAAAACACAACAGTTTTCTATTCCGAGGAAAAAAAAAAAAAACGGGGAGGACTAGTAATGGAGGCCAACTATCACTTAACGACAACATAGTCTTCCATATCTCTCACGTCTCCTATTCAAGTGTCTTGCATAACCCAGAATTTTTCTGCGTTTGAAAACAGCAATTGTTTTTGTTTCCAAGTTGCAAACAGGCTCTAAAAAAAACGCATTTTCATCGCAGCCGCACGTTCCCTCACCGCGATTCTAAAAAAGCGTGCCCGCTTCTCTCTCCCTCACCCCCTGATCTTATCTCCCTGTCTCTCTTTGGGTATTCGTTTTCTTCGGAAACAAAAACAGAACGAAGGATTTGTTCTTTCGAAACTAGAGCCACAAAAAAAATAATCGGAATTTATTACAACAAGTGACGGTAAACGGTTAAGAAGCCAAACGTTCGGGAAAATATGGACTCGGCGATGACATCTCCCGATACAGCTCAACGTCGCATTAAAGCTATTCACAGCCACCTCATCACCGCCGCTGCCCATGATGATTCTCCGCCTCAACTCCGTCACAATCCCACCGCTGGAGAGTTCTTCTCTGGTACGTAACTCCCCTCCCGCCTTCCACGTTTCATATCACTTACCCCCAAAATATGACGTGTATCGTAGGATAGAATACTATCTTTTTAGGTGTTTTCTTATGCGACCCTCTTCCTCTCTCCATGTCTGATCGATTAAAATGGTGATTTATGAATTTCTTTTTTAAAAATGTCAGGATAATCAAATAATTAATGATGCAGATAAATTTTTATGTACACCTTTCAATACATACATACATACATGCATACTCTGGGATAGCCATCAACTTTTATGTCTGATCGATTAAAATGGTGATTTATGAATTTCTTTTTTAAAAATGTCAGGATAATCAAATAATGATGCAGATGAATTTCTATGTACACCTTTCAATACATACATACGTACATGCATACTTTGGGATAGCCATCAACATTAGCATCAGTATTTTAGAATCTCCCACATTTATATTCTTGGTTAGAAGGAAGAGGCTTAATCTCTGAGATCTCTTAAGAGGGAGTGGATGTTACTGTCCGACCCTAGTGAGAGCCTGCAAACCTTTTGAATAGTTTTTGTGATGCACAGTGCTGCTGCAGCCCCTAAGAATTTTCTTCATTCAATGTTCGCTGGCCTCCTGGAAATAGAACTTGAAATTTTACTTGTTTTTTTCTTCTATTATTATAAAAACGAACCTCTATCTCAAGTCTTGAAATTTTTTATTTATCAAAAAATACCCTTGAGACTTTAAAATAGTTTTATTAATAGATATAAAGTATATTGTATTCTCTTAAAAAATTCAATGTGACAAAATTACAAAGGCTTCCCCTCTATGTAAAAGAAAGTGTTCTTTGTACATAAAATTTAAAAGTTTATAATACTAATAGATAAATTCAATTCTATTTCATTAAAAAAAAAGACCAAAACATTATTATAATCCTTAAAAAATAGATTAATTCCATTTCTTATTACATATCCATGTATACGTCATATAAAATCTTAAATTATATATAATAAACTTCTTAAATCTGTAGACCCTGTAATTGAATATTAAAACTCTAAAAATGCTTACAAATAGATCAGTAAAAGCCATAATTAAAATATGAAAGGAAGCTATTGTTAAAAGAATATTATATTTTTTATATTTTTAATTTCTATGCATACCCATATATAATTATTTTAGAAAATAAGTTAACAAATAATAAAACTGGAACTTTGTTAAGTTTCTATGGTGAACCCCGAGTTATTTTCTTATGTTATTATTATTATTTTTTTACTTTTTTATCAGTATTTATATCCTTGACAAACTTTACTCATATTAAAAAAAGAAAAACTCCTTAGTGAAAAAGTAAAATAAATTTTGAGCTAAATTATCAAAAATGTTTTAAAGATATGAAATTTGTTTCTCTCTTTCTTCTACCTGATGTGCTTAAAGTGGGACTAGGAGGAGTGCCCTTGTACATTGCCTTAAGGTG